CAAGTCAAGGCCAAATCCTTTGGGGTTTTTAAAAAAAAACAAAAAAACCCCCAAACAAAAACAGATTTGATTGAAAAGCGAAAAGGGCGCTCTGTTCTCTTGTAATCTATGAAACAAGCTGGTTTTGCTCTAGATTGCTTCATCTGTGCACTCTACAGACTTGGTTGAGATTCGACAATCTGAGAGACATTCTAGTAAGTTATTGCCCAAAGGTTCTGTCATGTATTCATCAACACCAGACTTTCTTTGTAACTGTCAGTTTTCCTATTTTAGCCAGTGGATCAGTAGATTTGTTTCCCTGATGGATATATAATATTGTTGGTGGGGATAGCTAGCTGGTTGAGCTGGAAGTAGAACACTTCGGATTATTGGGGGAGTTTTTTGGTGTGGTTTTCCCGTTCGTGGTTAGTGTCTCTGCTTCTGTGTCTTTGGCTTTTTTGCATATATTTGCATAGATTATAACTGGATTGACTTTCATTCTTCGCCCATGTTGTATAAAAGTAACATGAAAATAAAAATGATGCAATTTTATTTTGTTCCTTTCTTTGTTTTCTGTTGCATTGAGCTGTTTTCTTGTGTGTGTGTGTCCTTGTGGATGCCATAAAGGTTTAGTTGAGGTCTCCATTCACAGCTTACTTGACCTACTATGTGGGTGGTTGGTGGGTGTTCTTTTGTGGTTTGCTCTATCTTTCCTATGAAACATGTATCGTCCTTATCTCTCCTACTTCTTTTTTTTGGTGTGTTTGTTAATGTTACTCTCTTGTAACATGTATTCGTAGGCACTTATGTGACTATATTGTGTTGCAAGTGCCGTAAAACTCTTACAAATTCTTACAAACTGGCATACTGCTAGTAAGTACTACACACATCCCGACTGCTTAGCGCATGACTCGATTTTTCAGTGTTGCACCGCTTTGAAAAGTGGCGTATGATACGGAGTCTTACAAATAACACCTCTAATCTCCGGCACTTATAGATTTATATGATGACCTTATTGTGTTGCAAGTGCCGCAAAACTCTTACTAAAACAATAAAACAAGTTACCTTGGGCGGTCGATCTGGGTACCTCCCTCTTTTGTGAGGCTAACATAGTAGTAATGGTAGACACAGTAGTAATGGTAGACATAGTAGCAATGGTAGACACAGTAGCAATGGTAGACATAGCAGTAATGGTAGACAGTAGTAATGGTAGACATAGCAGTAATGGTAGACATAGTAGTAACGGTAGACATAGTAGCAATGGTAGACATAGCA